AAAAACTGCTGGACCAGTGTTAAATTAAAGGGCTATTTTTGTTCAATGATTAACAAAACCTAATGTTTCTTTAATTGCAAGAGCTATTTAAAGTGATTAGGTATTTGTTTTTAGTAGCTGAATGTTGATTACAAGGAACATAAAGCAAAGGTCGTGACCCAAGCCAACATGGAGACATGGATCATTGAAGTCAAAATCATTCACAGAATTATACCAAAAGTTATGTTTCGTGGTAAATGTATTTTCTATTCCACTAAGAAATAGTAAATGAGTACATGTAAATGAGTACATGTAAATGAGTAATCAATATTTAAACCAGAATCCTGTACTGTTACACCACTATGCACCAATGGTGATTGATCTTAGCTGTAGGCAAAAATTATTATCCTGTAAAACCTTAGCTGCCGCCCCCAGGGAACGCCAGTCATTAGGGGCCAAGGGCTGTTGGAGTCGCTGCAGATCCCAATGGCAGGATATCGGCATGTCCATGCTCAGGGCACAGAGACAAGCATCCACATTCTGTGGCTCCTCTGGGAATGAGACAGGCCGATTTCCTTCACATGGCATGACTGTCCCCTCTGCACCACCACCCCCCCCCGAAACAAAAGCGCTACATCACATCAAGGCTGATGCACATTTCAGCTGGACACTTCCCATCTACACCTTCACCTTCATTCATTTATCTTGCTCTGCTCACAAGCACGATGACCACGAATGACCGTAATCATCATCAAACTCCTGAAATCCGCTGCAGGCACAGAGCCAGAGTTGCTACACAAAGTAATTTTGTTGGACCAATTTGAGGTAGCGAACATTCGATTGGAAAGATGGAGGGACAGGCACCATTCTGTGTAGTAATTTTCTCTCTGTGTCATAAATACTGTCCAGACTGATGACTGTAATTGCTCCCAGTTCTCTTTGTGTCTTGCTGTGCCTTTTTCTTAGCAGTAGGAGGAACGGAGATGACTCAAATAGCTTTATCGTAAACATCTGATGTAAATATGTTCATGGAAACTCAGTAGGCTGACCTGAAACTACATGGCTGTAAAACTGTGAGCTAAATGGCCCAAGCGTTGCCACAGAAGGAATGATGCTGTCCCTGATGTCAGGCCAGGAGACGTAGAGCAGCTATCCGTGAGCTAGGAATCTGACCTATGGGTCGACCCCACCCATTTCCCTGAAGCTCTTCTGAGGTTTATTCCGGGGGATTGATATGCTGAGATAGTACGTAAGTATTAGTTCAGTGGCTTAGCAAATGGTATACAGTCAAAGTGTTCCCTTAGCTCAAGGTTACTGCAGAAACAAACATGACATTCTGACAACCATTTGCACAATGAGGAGAATATTAAAGAAGAACATTGAAAACCATAATAAACAAATAAACAGTAATCAAAAAACTCCGGTTCAGCAACACAAGCCACAAATGCTGCCTGTTTCAGTGTCAAAGCCATGATTCATACCACATTGTATACTGGCACCCTGTGTAAGTCTTTGTGTATCTACCTTATGATGGGACGTAGTGTTCAGAATTGAAAAACAAAACTTTGCAGTTATCACTAGAACACACCAGAACATTTAGATTCAGAGCTGTTGAAAGCAGATAGCATTTATGAATATTTTTAATGTGTAGGTGGGCATCTTGCCACTCCATTCTATGAATGTAGATGTGTTGTCAGGCTCTTTGCTTTTATTAAAAATCCACAATTTGTTTCGGTACGTTTTAACAGCATTACATTAAAAATGAGTATCTGAGGTCATGATTTGCAAAACATGCCATAAATACAGATATGTTATGATTGACATCTGCAACTTGGGTCACTTAACTGAACTTACTCTTTGCCATGCCATAGTGTAAATTAAGCTTAGCGATTCTGAATGTCTGAGTGAAATGACAGAAAATAGCCCTGGTTAGAGAGGTTTGGTCTTGCCAGCGTTTCACATTCGAAGTTTAGAGAGAGAAAACACCCTTTCCACGCCTGTCCAGCAGCTCCGCTCCATCGGAGCTTCAGCTGCATTCCAGCTGCTCGACAGTTTGAGCAGGTTAACCAGGCAAGGACAGAAATGCTGCCTTTACCACAGGCAACCAGCTGATCCAAGTGAGGGAAGGAAAGCCCACAGAGTGAGTTTAATGGGCTATCGTGCAGCTGCGATTTCAATTCCTGGTGTTCGCTGTTTTGAGTTTTCATGCTGTTTCATATTTTGCTAATCAGCTGTTTTGCTCATTGAAAGATAACGGAATTAGATTAAACATATGATTCACTATAATGCTGTACTCATTCTGAAATTGCTTTTCCCTTTTTGGATAGTGTGGTTGAGTAATGCTGAGCCTGTAATGTGTTACTGGGATCTGGTCCATTAGAAAGGAAATTATGCCCGTAAACTGTTTACCTTCATTTGCTATTAGTACTCTATTTATGTTTTTTTATTTTTAATTTTTGCTCCTAGGAAAAAAAATAGCAGGAGCAACTGCAAGTTTTCATCAAATACGCTCTCAGTTCACAATGTCATTTGTCAGCAGAATTGGGCCTCGTGTTAACAGAGACTGTGCCTCTGTTAGGGCCCGACAGGGTGGTGCAGACAAGCTTCACCTGCCTGGTTTGCGGGGTGGACGTGCTGCTCTGTAAATTGGAGCTGGCTCACCTTTTCCCATGGGTGCCTGTCTAGGAGCCTCTGTGACCTTCACTACTTCCTGTCCAGGCTGCAGGGCTGCCAGGTCTGTGACTCTGCTCTCGGGCCGGCGCCTGTGGATTCGCTGATATAAACAAAAGCGAAAGGCAGCATCAGGATTTTCGGTAATCTCAGGGGAATTTAGATTTTCCCTGACACCGCTCTTCTGCTATCTTACAAATCTTAAATTCAGGCACCAGCCTCAATACACAAACTGTTCATTCTTCCTGGGGCTAAGGAGCCACATTTCAAGGTTTTCCTGACCTCACAATGGACTAAATATCATCCTCCAAAAACCTCTTTTCAGCAAGATTTTCAGTAATTTTCCAGTATTGACTCTGCTGTCTGAGCTTCAAAATCAGCACAAAGAACCACAAATTTGATGCCCAGAATGTCCACAGTAGTTGATAGAACTCGAGACGTATCCTTCCAACATCCTTCCCATGCAGGACGGGAAGCTTGGGAGTTAATCAAAGGCATACATGTATAGTTTAAAGTAAAACTCATTTGGCGCGATTTGTCACACTTGAGGGTTGTTGAAAAAGTGTATGCTACGCTAAGGAGACACATGTGAAAAGGATCTGATGAATGGATATCTGTGAAAGAAGGGGCCTGTTATTTACCATCCATCTAGTCTACCATCCACCTTCATTTGCTCATTCAGTACAAGGTCATGGAGTTGCTTTTACCAACATTTCTTAGTACTTCAAAAACTCAGCCGTAAGTTAAACATAAAGACAGCGATATATCCGTGTAGCCACGTGGTTAGCAATATACCTGATTCCTTCCATTTGCTCCCATAGGACTGGAACCGAACATGGTACACCCCCAACCCAGACCTGACCCAGTGCTTCCAGAACACTATCCTGGTGTGGGTCCCCTGCGTCTACCTCTGGTTGTGTTCGCCCGTCTACTGCCTGTATCTCTGCTGCTGTGACCATGGACACATCCAAATCTCCTGTCTCTGCAGTGCCAAAACGGTGAGCCACCACAAGCGAAGTAAAACTGTCAGTTGATTACCAATTAGTACCATATTAGACCACTGAATGTCCGAATGCAGTGATGACGTCATGTGTAAAATAATACCGCACTATATAAATTACAACTTCAGAGCTTCAGTGCTTTTGAGTGTAAAAGGGTTGATCTCATAGAACCTAAGAATGCTTTATAATACTGAGCGTAGCTGTGCCCACAGCCGTGAAGAACGTCAGGTATAACTGGTTGTTTATTCACCAATCGCACAGCTCCTGGGCTTCTTCTTGGCATCCTTCGGCTTTGTGGAGTTCTTTTACATTCTCCTGGAGAGGAACCAAGAGATCCATCAGCATCTGATCTTCCTCTTGAGTCCCCTCATTCGCAGCTTGACTGTGGTAGGTGACCTTTGTCCTTGCTAGACACTCTACAATGTTGTCCAGGGGACAGGGAATCTTCTGTTCAATTTTTCGCAGCTTAAATGCCATTTTGTGTGGCCAGTAGGAACATTTTCCAAAGTTCCTTCAAACGCAGCATATTTTCTACCTCCTCATTAACTTCTTGCAAAACTTTTAAGGTCTAATCATTGAAGCAGTTCAGGCTAGAGATATTTCCTGTGCAACATCACAATGCATTTTGAGATGCCCACTTGCTACATCTAGGCAAAGTGCATCGTAAGGTTACTTGGTGCATCACTGAGGGTTATTACAGAAAGTTTTCCATCCACGCTTGGGTTCTCTGCCAGGGTTGTGTGAATGTTTTCTTTCACCCCTTCTGCTGAAGTGAGACGGCGCACAGGATCCTCAGTAGGGAGCTGGGTCTGTAGACGGTGAGGATGAAATGACGCCGTGTTTTCTCTGTGGAGGAGTCATAGCAGATTTATGACGGTGCTACACTGGCCATCAGGCGAAGTTGATTCGTGACTGTTTCCACAAACTCAGTTTCCCTTAAGAGGTCTAGTGGACCTCCTGTTCAGACGAGCTGCCTCAAGAGCAGACTCTGAGCCAACCTGTGGTCTCCTCAGACACCAAAGTCAATATCAGATACTGTGTAGGCAAGAAAAAACACCAAAGTGGATCCTACTTACACAGAGATACTTCTTATGCCCAGTGTCCGGTCTGCTTCAACATTCTCCTGCCCCTGAAAAGTCTTAGCATACTACGCTAACCCGGCCTGGATACGGTGTCGCTGTTTACATCAAACCTTCCTCATTCTTGGAGGTTAGGACCACACTTAAGGAAGAACTCTGTAATTTCCAGTTTGATTCAAAGCAGCACCCTGTATTTCCATCTGGTTTAATCAACCAGTGCTTTTATCCTTCCTAAAATCTACTCAATACGTTGGAAGTATCTCAGTGACTCAGACCGTGGTCTGTGTCTTTCCTGTCCTGAGGTATGTGTGCAACATCAGTAGTAACCAGCAATTCATGACGTAAAGAGCTATTTAGTCTAAAACACCAAAAACTTCCCATGTAATTACATGGCTCACATTATGATTGGAGTGAAGTAATGCATTGACATCCACTTGTTGCATTTAAGGGGGGAGTCTCTACCCACTGGCAGCAAACGGAAGAGAAATACTGTATTTACAAACATTAACTCCACGTGCATGAACATATAGTACACAGTTCATGCACGGTATTACACATCTGTGCAGTTTCATGGCCATTTCATTTGAAAGGCTTCAACTCATTTAGAACATAAATACTATTTAGTTGGATTTTTTTTAATTATACTGGCCATTATTACATGATAGCCTTATCATGCTGTTGTTGCTTGGCAAGGCTACTTACTAAATCTGCTCAAGGGCTTGACACAAGCACCAAGAGCCTGAAATCCCAAGATCATTAACTACTATGATTAACCACTAGACTCGCTACAAATTGCTTCCAAGAAAGGATAGTGCAGTGAAGAAAAAAAACAGAAGCCTTTACCACATAAAATGCACAAAGGGCTAACAGTTGCACTCATGGCGGGGAGAGTCACCGTTCTCCATAAGTAGCAGATATGTTTAGGCAGATAAGCAACTGATTACATTGGATTAATTAACCTGCCTTTATATTCATGAACAGCTGTGTCGATGGCAGAAAGAAGAAAGCCGTTTTTTTCCCAGAATGCATTTCAACGCAAGTAGGTGAGTCTGGCATCCTGGGAGCTTTTCCTCATTGTAGGTTTCCCCTTGCAGATGCTGGCTGTCTGCATCATCCATCTGGAGAGGAAAAGAGGCTGCCGCTCCTCTGTCTTCCTCTTCCTCTTCTGGATGCTGGCAGTGCTGTGCTCCCTCGTGCCCCTCAGAGCCAAGATCCAGCTGGCTGTGGATGAGGTGAGAGAAGTAGCACCAGCATGGGCCTACTTGGGTGCCCTCATTCCTGTGGACACACCCAGGGGCTCCGCCGCAGGCACTGATGTCGGACACTGAGGCTCAGATACAGACCCTTATATAATGTGGAAACTCCCCTGTGAGGCGGCATAGAATTCTAATTATTCCATTAACTTCTGCTTTTTTAAGGCTGTGTGAAAACCAACGCAACACAACTTAGGACTTTTCCTTTTTACAGAGTGGCATGTTTGTCAAGAAAATTAAGGTTCAGGTCATGTATCTGGACTAGAGTTTAGATTCTCTGCCCGAGCCCGAGCCCAGACCCGACCCGACCCGACCCGTGGGCCGGGTCGGGCCGATATTTCCTGCCACTATCTTCGGGCCGGGCCGGGCCGGGCGGAGCCATGATCAAGCATTTGTGTGTGTTTTTTTTTTTTTTAAATCATTACTTAATTAGCCTAATTGGGTGGAGAGCTATGCCATAATTATAAATGTAGCTCCCTCCCGTAAGACACGAGCACAAGAGTCCTTTGCATTTAACTGAGCCGACGGTTTATTCGAAAGACAGTGGCTTCGTTATTATCACCATCATGGCAGACGTGAGAACTAAATACAGATACGGAAACACAAAATCAAGCACATTTACTTACAATATTAGCTAACAAACATTGAAATTCAAATGAAATATAAACATAAATAACAATAAAGACAGCTTAGAGAATTCATATACAGTTAACACGAACCTCAGTTAGCATTTACATTTACATGGCTAAATACAACAAACTTAACTAAAACTTAATTAACACATACTTCGTTGGCTGCTTACGGAAGGATTTAACCTTTTTCTTAACCCTTTACTTAAAGTTCGATGCCGAGCACACAAACTGGTTCCAGCAGCAAGCGAACTGGATAAGTGAAAACGTGCTTTTCTTCTAAACGTGTCTCAAAAATCCATTCTGAATAAACAAACAATGCAGTTTACATGCTTCGTCCTTGTTGCATTTTTCATTAAGATAAATCTAAACTAATTTCTGTAGTTCAAACAACTTAGAATTGTAGTTGAGAACGTCTGTTACAACGGCTCACGTATTAAAAAATAGTCGGGTTTAAATCGGGCTCGGGCTCATAATTACAGTTAATGTGTCGGACCGGGTCGGGCTCGGACACAAGGTGCACGGGCTCGGGTAGGGTCGGGTTTAATTTTTTGGGCCTGATCTAAGCTCTAATCTGGACTACTTTGGCCGCCTGCCGCTGTGGTCCTGGATGTGAAAGCTGACTTATCTCATATCCTTACCCTGTATATTTTGGACCATCAGATATCTTATGTCTCTTCAGTTTTCCCGTAACCCCGGCATGCACATTTAACTTTTATCCAAACTTGTAATTCTAAGGTTAGCCGCTCACTGTGCTCTTTTCTCATTTTTATCTGTCTGCTGTACCCTCTAATCTCGTCGGGCAGCCGCAAGTCGGACAGAGGCAGCTGGTAAGGGCTCCACTTTGCTGGAGTTGCTTGTAGGTCTGATATCAGGAGCTGCATGTTGGCCGCACGAGACAAACGCAGTGGATTTCCTGGCCGGTTGTTTATCTGTGCCAGTGCTATCCACAGACATGGTAATCGCTGCTGGAAAGACAAGTTGCTATAAACGTTTTCCCCCGCATTTTTATCTCTAGTGGGGAATGAATGGGTTGATGGTTGGCATGTGGCAAAGCTTAGTTAGACACGGCCTGCTAAAACCAGGACAGAGGCCCCCACATGGTCCCCACATGGTCCCCACTCTGATAAGTGAAAGCGAGGGGGCGGGAGAACATCTGGAACTGCTGCTTTTCTAGTAACACCATCATTTTGGTCGAGACCAGAAATCAGTGGTTAACACACTTGGAGTACAGTGCATACCAAATTAACACTGACACGTGAGTTTTACGCCATGTCTTTCTATATACGCTAACTTTTAATCTAAGAAAGTAAAGACTAATCTAAGAAAGTACTAAGATAGCCTGCAAAATTCAGATATTGTAACAGAATTCCCTGTAATCTTTGTCCCCATGACCTCACAGATCAAAGTGAATCGCTGCTATACCATAAAAAGCCAAAACACTGTCCATAAACTTCCAAACTTTTATGGTCTTTGTTTAGTCTGTCATGGTGTCTGAGGTATCACCTTGATATCGGTGCCACATGCATCCTCAAATAGCATCGTCGTGCATGTGCTCTTCTTGTAGAGCAACACTGCACCCCAACTATGGCTAGCGTGTGGTCGTCTGGGAAGCCGTTGGGTTCAGTTCAAGCTTGCAAACCCATTTCCTTCAACAAGTCGGTCTGACCCATATTTACTGCCCATGCGACCGTGTTTTTGTCTGTGGCTGATGTGAGGTTGCAGTCGTTCACCATTCCAAGCCCCTTTAAGCCCAACCCAACATTCAACATGCACTGACCAAGATTTTGTTTATTACTGCTCACGTTGGTAAGTTAGCACAGGATGTAGCAGTATATATATGACCATACATAAACAGATTATTCTAGAAGCCCATATACCTTATGACCCATATACTTCTTTTAGCTAATTCATTATAATGTTTACTTGTTTCACAATTTAAAGCGTATGTTGCTTCCCTAACCATGAATTCCCCATTCACAGATAAGTCCCTTAGCGTGACTAGAAGATTTTATTATTCTCACATGCAGAATTCATTTATATTGACTAAACAGTTAAAGACTTTGGGTTGTCGCCATTATTCGAAATAACCATTCAAAATAAGCTTTATAGAGTTGTAATTCCTCCACTGAGAGCAAGAGCTGCACTATATAATATATGAGAAGATGTTTACATAGAACCCAGATTAGATATTATTAATTATTAATTATGCTTCGCACCATTGCTCTTAAATCTGGAGAGTATCGTTCATGAATGACAGTGGACTAGAAGTGTCTCATGTGGTACGGATATTCACTGCAGCATCATGGGTAATCCTTTACAGCTGGGGTGAACTCATGTAAACTCACCCCCCCCCCCCCCATGGTGACATCCAGGAAACAAACGAAACTGTGATGTTTTGTGTTTTATGTGTATGATGTGTGCCTGCATTTTCTATTGTTGTGGTGAACCTGTGGCCTGAACGTCCTCAAAAAAGTTCTGTTAATATGTATAATTAAATTTTCATTCTGACTTTCTCTGAGCCTAAGTGGCTTGGGCTCACAGGCTCCAGCCAAAGACATTGAAAGCACAGGCTGGCAGCGGAACAGCGCTGTAAGCCGCTGACATGCCACTGGACAAGTGCGCCGTCATGCTTGTAAACTACCATGATTCACGCTAATAGGAGCCGGAGTGTTAGCCCAGAGTGTTAGCCCAGAGTGTTAGCCCGGAGTGTTAGCCCGGAGTGTTAGCTTGGAGTGTTAGCCCGGAGTGTTAGCTTGGAGTGTTAGCCCAGAGTGTTAGCTTGGAGTGTTAGCCCGGAGTGTTAGCTTGGAGTGTTAGCCCAGAGTGTTAGCTTGGAGTGTTAGCCCGGAGTGTTAGCCCAGAGTGTTAGCCTGTGCCCCATCCTAACGCATCCCTGTTTGATTTCTGTGTCCCAGGGCTTCGTCACCGACGCTGTGCGCTACCTGGCCTTTTTTTCATACTTTGCCCTGCAACTGGTGCAGCTCTTTCTCAGCTGTTTCTCGGACCAGCCCCCAAGCAGCGGGAAAGCGACTCTGATCAAGGTACATCCCCGTTATCCTGGTCCTCTCCGCTGATTCAGCTGTGGGAGTCACACTGCACTGTCTCCCTCTGAACACTTCTGTTTATGCAGGCTTAAATGGATGAGGCCTGCCTTGCCCTAAGGCCCAATCTGTTATTTTATGTGGTTCTTTTGAGGAGTAGAGAAGATCCTGTTCATTAGTCATTTTATTTTTCTGCTTTGTTAGTCATGTGCATTTTTAGCCGCATCACGCCATCAGTCCTCGTCTGGCCCGCTGGTCCCTGCCGGCTGCCCACTCTTCCTCTGGTTTTACTGGGAGTGGTTCGCGGGGCAGAGTGTGTTTGCGTGGGACGGGGCTCTGGCTGAACTCGCTGACTTCAGCTTTTCTCCAGCTACCCCCGTCCCGTGCGGCCCGCGGCTTCTCCGTTTGCTCGGCTCTCAGGTCGCGCGTTTCCTGCCGCAATTAAACAGTGTTTTAAAAAAAGACGGAAGCTTCATCGGCTTCTTTTTTCCCCCCAATGAATGAAACAGAGGCGATGAATAACCCTACACTAAAGCCTGTGGTGTAACTAGCGAGGGCTCACATCTGCCGGATTCCGAGGAACGGTTCAGTGCCACGCTAAGGTGATGGTCTCCAGCCGCCCACGGGCACTGGTGGGCCGCCAGACGTGTTCTCGGGGGACACACCCAGTAGCTTCTGCCTCCCAGCCTCAGTGTGCCTCCACATGTTGGGCAGTGTTACTCAGCCCAACTCCGGTAAGGGGGCGAGCGGGCAGACACAGGCCACCGCTGTGTGCAGCGTGCCTCGGTGACGACACGTTTCCGCGCGCCTCTGACCTCAGAGCCTCCCTTCTCCATCTGCTTGTGTTTATTCTGAGCCTGGCAGGCTGGCGTCTGCAGCTGTTTACATGTCTAACTGCCACGCACAAGGCAGCCTTATCATCTTGTCGAGTCCATCCGTGGCAGTAAATAGCACGTCTGCAAAACTGTGCTAAACGTTTAATTGGGAAGCAAATCTTGCTGCAATATTGTGCTGGTCTTCATCTTGAGGTTTTACTCGGGATTACTTGTGTGGGAAGGTTCTCCAACCTGCTGGCTCTGATTCTCTTTACAGAACCCTTGCCCGGTTCAAGATGCATCCTTCTTATCAAAGATTCTCTTTTGGTGGTTCAGTGGGTATGAATATCTTCTTATTTATGGAATATGATTGCAATGCAGGAATAGCCTCAGGTTTCAGTAAAAAAATGTTTCTTATAGTTATAAGCATCAGGTGAAAAATGTGAATGTCCTTAAAATGGCATTCCGCCCATTGTTGGAAGAGTTCAGTCATACATCTGTCTACATTGCCAATCAGTGTCTCACTTTGTCTGCCTTTGCCTGATAGACTTGTGGTGAAAGGGTATCGCAAGCCACTCCAGGCTGAAGATCTTTGGTGTCTAAGGGAAGAAGACACCTCAGAAAAGATCATCACTGATTTGGAGCAGGAGTGGACTGCACAATGCACAAAGATGCAACAGTAATATCCACATACCTTCATGCTTATGTTACAGCTTGAAACATGGATTTCCTTTGTTGTATAGCAGTGGTCGGGTTATAGGGTGACCATAAGGACTTGTCTTCTTTGGGACCAGAAAATGCCTCTCTTTGTATCCTGTCCCTACGGTCCTGTTTTTTGCAAAGCGAAACATGGTCACCCTATCAGATTGTTTGTGACTCAGTTAATGCCCCTACTGCTGCTTTAAGATTCATCCTAGGTGATCGAAACTGCAGCTGTAAGATACTCATTAAGAATGGAAAAGGAAAATGCCGGTCAAACCTAGTTCCATGAGGACACTGGGATGAGGCAAAAGCCCTACCAGTCATTTCAGTTAATATACTTCAGCTTTGAAGCATGATTATTAAATCTTAAAAGTTTACACATACAACAGTTTCTTACATGGTGGAGGTCAGAAAATGTTTCTTACGGCTGGCAAAAAAACATAAAAATATGAAAACTGCCCCTTTAAGTACAAGAAATGTATTGACAAGAAAAACAAGAAACACATTGTGTGTTTCCATTCTCTGTTTCATATTAACACTTCAGATGCAAAACCAGCATGTAGGACCATCCCTAATGCAAATGCCCTCTGTCTTCTCTTATGTCAGGCAAGAGAGGTCCTTGGGCACAGGCGTGGCGCTGGGTTCGAGGCTGGCGGAGCAGGCCCAGCTCATCCGGAAGCTGCAGAAGGAGCAGAGTTCGGGCTTCTGTCTGCTCAAGACTCTGGCTCGTAACTTCGGGCCCTACTTCCTGTCAGGGACCTTGTGCCTCGTGGTCCATGATGCCTTCATGTTCTCCATTCCCCAAATTCTGAGGTGAGATGCAAAGCAGGGCCCCAGAGCTACAGCGTCATGTCCCAGGTCTGCCATGTCAAGACACATCAGCCTATAAACAAGGCGTGTGAATCTGGCATGCGACTCAGCCTCTGGTAGTGGAAGGCAAAACGAGGCAGGTTTTGAACCTCCGGCCTCTGAAGCTCGAGGCGGCATCATGGCAGAGGCCATGGAACTTAAGTGTTAGGGTTGCTCACGGCATTCGATCCATTGCAGCGACACCACTTTCAGGAAACAGACTATATACACAATAAGACAGACAGAGTGTTAGGCCACAGAGCCTCAGGAAGCCTCTTCTATAATCAGCAGCGGTGTCTGATGCAGAGGTTTCAGTAATATATATGGGCACCATCAATATTAACACACTGAATGCTAAAGCTGGAATGAACCTGAAAATTCTGCTTCTCGCAAACAGAACCATAGCGAAAAAAGGGATTTTTTTTTTTTTACACCCATCTTCAAACAGTTTCAGCGGATGCTAGCCAGTAATCTTTATTTATGTATTACCTTTAATACATACAATGCAGGCCAAAATGTTTTACATTGAGAATAAAAAAAGGGGGAAAAAAACAGACAAGCAACGCAACAGGGTAAGCAATTTGAGAATAAATACGATGATTATACAAAAAGCAAAAACACAATATAAAATTAGAATGAGAGATTTGTGCATAAAACCGAATTATATGAAAGAATACAGGGACAATATGTGTGGTAATATTGTAACACCCTTTATTCAACTTTACAGTCTGTTGCTGGGATTCATGAGGGATGAGGACGCCCCCTTGTGGAAGGGCTATTTCTACGCATCTCTTATGTTCCTGCTCTCATGCCTACAGTCCCTCTTCAACCACCAGTACATGTATACCTGCTTCACTGTAGGCATGAGGGTAAAGACAGCCGTCATGGGCCTTGTCTACAGGAAGGTATGTGTCTCCCAGAGCCATTGTCCAACGATTAGGCTGTGATTACACAGCAGCAAAGGTCACATTCGCTTCTCTGCTTATTCTCCTTAGACTTTGGTCATCAGCAGCGCTGCACGCAGGACCTGCACAGTCGGGGAGATAGTGAACCTGGTCTCATCTGACACCCAAAAGCTCATGGATTTCGTGGTGTACTTCAACGCAGTCTGGCTGGCTCCCATCGAGATCTCGCTCTGTCTGTTCTTCCTGTGGCAGGTGGGCCGTCTGTACTTCTTCAGACAGTATGATTCATCAACACTGACCAATGGTAACTAGTTTAAATACCCCTTTGACATTTTTAAAAAATGTTCAAGAAACATCCAGTTCAATAATTATAATTATAATGTTATATTGCAACTGGTGCAAATATAGATATAGATATAGATATAGATATAGATATAGACAAGAAGCTGAGGCACTCCTGCTGTAAGTTAAAAAAGCCTTTGTTTGACATTGGCTACATGCCTACGTTTCAGCTAGTGAGTCTTCATCATGCCCTGGCATGTAGCCAGTGTCAAATAAAGGCTTTCCAAACTTACAGCAGTGCCTCAGCTTCATATTTTGTTTTCAGATGATATTCAGAGGTTCAATCTGGTCAGCACCCTACAACTTTGTTTGGATTGCTAGAATTTTTCATAACCAGAGAAGCATTCTCTCTTTTTCCATAGATATAGATATACTAGATATACTTGTTTCCCCTAGTCAGCCTTAGCCACTTCCTTTCTATCTCTCCCTATCTAGCACTTAGGCCCATCTGCCCTAGCTGGCATTGCCACAGTCATCCTCATATTTCCTCTGAACGGATTCATTGCCAAGAAAAGGAGCCGACTCCAGGTACTGTGCCCAGGAGGCATGTGTGTCTTGATTTTTCCATGTGTTGCACATAAGCTGCACCAGCTCCGAGTGTCTTCTGGTGTATTTTGTTGGTGTCTACAGCTGGTTTAGATAGCGTTCGAGGGCAATGTGGGTGTCCGGCTTGGGTGCAATTCTTTAATGCTTTGATGTTCAAATGTTACTCTTATGAAAAACAACCACAGAAAAAAGAGCTGTAAAATGTCTATTTTCACTTATTTCTCTATGAGCAGCAGACATTTGGCAACATTAGAGTGTAAATTGGACCAGCCATTAAGAACGTATTAAACACTTTCCTGGCACTTGGCAATTTCCACAAATTAAATTGGCCCAGTTTAAAAGATACGGTAGATATCACCAGTCTTTTCATACTAACGACTAGCACCGTAGTAAATGGTAAGTGTGGGTCTGTGAGAATTTTAACGGTATTTCACATGTTACAAGGAGGTGCAAATGAAATACATGGACGGACGCATCAAACTCATGAATGAGATACTGAATGGAATCAAGATCCTGAAGTTCTACGCATGGGAGAAGGCCTTCCTGGAGCAGGTGCTCGGCTACAGGCAGAGGGAGCTGAAGGCCCTCAAGAAATCTCAGATCCTCCACTCTGTTTCCATGGCTTCCTTCAACTCCTCATCATTTCTAGTGCGTATCAAGTCACCGGTCCTTCAGCAGTGAGGGAATCGCTGTGACTCCCAATCTCCTAACACCTTGAGTCTATGTGTTCTCTTCAGATTGCTTTTGCAATGTTTGGAGTCTACGTGCTGATTGATGATAAGAATGTCCTGGATGCGCAGAAGGTCTTCGTCTCCATGGCTCTCATCAATGTCTTGAAGACCCCGCTGAGCCAGCTGCCCTTTGCGATGAGCACTATCATGCAGGTGCAGAGACAGGCCACAGAAACCTTTCTCTTTGTCTGAATGTGCTACCAAAACTCTGTGACAACTCATGCCGTTTTGCTTTTAATTAGCTAGAGAATTAACTTGAACTACTCCAGGGGGTTAATATGTTTAGCCTTGTAGGTCCAGCGGCTGGTAAATGGTGACAGAATATTCCCCGGTTTCTTTCCTTAGGCCTTAGTCTCCTTGAAACGTCTTGGAAAATTTCTTTTCCAAGAGGAGCTAAAAGCTGAAAGTATAGAGAAATCCCCATACCAGCCTGGTAAGTATTGCGGTGACAGAGCTGTGCTTTAATTCAATCAGAATGCACGATTACACCATGTAAGACATGAAACATTAAAATCCAATGAACAACCCTACAAACAGTGGTAATGACAATGCAGAAACACAAAAAAATGCAATGTATATATATATAAATACTGTTTTTTATTTGTCATCTGTTAGAACAGGACAGTTTAGCTAATTATAGTAGATAACTGTACCACAGATAGGTGGTGATTTTTCAGTTCACTTGGGAATTCTGTCATTGAATTTCAAATTATATTGGTTTATTTCTCTGTCTCAAAACTGAAGCATGTTATTTTGAATTTAAAAAAATAGCAAAATGAAGCAACAGGAGGAAATTTGCTGTTAAATTCTAGGATTTATTAGCATTTAAAAAATAAGAATAAAGCTGCTTTTCTGGCAGCAGAGTATTTAAACAGAGTAATGATTCCAGTTTAATTTGTCCCTCCAGATGGAGATGCAGTAGCCATAGAAAATGGCACCTTCAGCTGGTCCAGAGAAGGTCCTCCATGTCTTAAGAAGTATGTCTATTTCATGTGACACTCTGCCGATTTGCATGCCCTTGTTTCCATGACTCCAAACTTGAGGCGCTTAAAGATTGGTTAAAGAGTGGCGTGTTGCTGTGAATGTATAGGATCAGCGTGCAGGTACCACGAGGGTCTCTGGTCGCTGTGGTGGGTCATGTTGGCAGTGGGAAGTCATCTCTTCTGTCTGCAGTCCTGGGGGAGACAGAGAAAAGGAGTGGCAGTGTTTCAGTCAAGGTATTGAACCTGAATCTACATAACGTCACGTTATGTGGACATAGTTAGACCTGTGGAGTTGGACGTATGGAGGACACACTGTAGAGTATGAATCGCTGTCAGCTTTAGCTTTAGATGAGGACATCCTGCACAGACGAATCTTACTGGGTCCTGGTTTGTTTCAATAGGGCTCAGTTGCCTACGTGCCCCAGCAAGCCTGGATCCAGAATGCCAGCCTGCAAGACAACATCATGTTTGGCCGAGAGAAGAAGCAGAGCTGGTACCAGCGTGTGCTGGAAGCCTGTGCCCTGCTCCCTGACCTGGAGATTCTGCCCGCTGGCGATGCCACTGAGATCGGGGAGAAGGTTAAACACCTTACACAATCTCCTGCTCGAAATTTGCCATGGCGACCTCAGTTTTTAAAATGACTGTTATCCTTCTGCCTACTTTTGCCCAGGGTTTGAACCTGTCAGGAGGACAGAAGCAGCGGGTAAGCCTGGCACGTGCCGTGTACAGGAAAGCAGACCTGTACCTGCTGGATGACCCCCTGTCTGCTGTGGATGCCCATGTGGGACAGCACATATTTGACAGAGTCATTGGACCTAAGGGTGTGCTGAGAGACAAGGTAACATTTATAACCTCCGACTGCCTTACCAGTATAAACCCTTAGGCCTTATATAAGTATTCTTGGGCACCACAGAAATGTTCCCCGGAACAGTTTTGAAAAAAACCTTTCAGTGTATTTTGGGACCTGAAGCACCATTGAGAACTAATGATGTATGTCATTCATACAGACCCGTGTTCTAGTCACGCATGGGACGAGTTTCCTGCCCCAGGCAGACCTAATCCTTGTGCTGGATGATGGAGAAGTCACAGAAATGGGCTCGTATTCAGATCTGCTAAGCCGGCATGGTGCCTTCGCCGAATTCATACAGACCTTCGCCAGCACAGAACGCAAGGAGAGCTCTGTCCAAAGAGGTGAGAGGTCCCTTCAGCTGTGGCCAACAGACATCAACATGACTCTTCAAAAACAAAAAAAAGTCTTAACTCATAATTGGTGACTTAAGGTTACTCATACACTTCTGCTTCCTCGAGTTTTTTTCATAGAACAGAACTCAGAAGATCTCTATTTTGCTTAACTTTTAAATGTCTGTTTTAAGAAAGGTTAAAAATTGCCAGTTAATGTTATAAAATTTACAACAAACTGTATGCCTAATTCAGGTACCAGGAAGTCTTTATCACGGCTCAGCGTTACTGACTTCATGCCTGTTTCCAGAGACCTCTCCCAGGAGCAGCTCATTAGGTATGATCAACTAGAGCCCCACGTTCCCTGTTGCATTAAATGACAAACAGTATAACAGTCCTGCTGAACCACATCAAAATGCTATAAACAAAGATGAGGCAGGAAAAAACATCACAGCAAAAATGACAGCTTCTACATGACACAAATTGTCATGAAACCTCATTTTTGAAACACTTTGTGTCGATCTCTGTCCCTCATAGTGGTGACATGGGCAACAACAGCCTACAGAACATGGAGTCTATATCTGACACAGAGCAGGACCAGGTACCAGAAGACGTGGGAAAGCTGACAGAGGCTGACAGGGCCCGCACCGGCAGGGTGAGCTCAGCTCCAACACCATCAATGATAGATCAACGATAAACCACTTCTATACTTTGTCTCTCACTGGTACTGAGACATGCATATAGATCCCTCTTGTTGCAGTTTCTTTAGCAGCAACTTGTATTCTGTGACCCCTAACAGGTAAAACTGGAGCTATACATGGAGTATTTCAAGACCATCGGCTTGGGGCTGATCCTGCCCATCATCTTCCTGTATGCCTTCCAGCAGGCCGCCTCCCTGGCTTACAACTACTGGCTTAGCATGTGGGCAGATGATCCCATCGTGAACGGGACACAGATCGACACAGACATGAAGCTGGGCATTTACGGGGCTCTTGGTTTCGCACAAGGTTAGCAAAGCCGGAAAGACTTGACCAGCAGGAACCCTCAATGCACCCAACTTAAAACGTAGCTTGATTTTGTTTTTTTGTTTTTTCTCAGGTGTGGCTATTTTTGGTACCACTGTGGCAATCTCGGTGGGAGGCATCATAGCCTCTCGTCACCTGCACTTGGATCTCCTGAACAACGTTTTGCGGTCTCCAATGGCCTTCTTCGAGTGCACGCCGAGCGGTAACCTCCTTAACCGCTTCTCCAAGGAGATAGACGCCATTGACTGCATGATCCCAGATGGGCTGAAGATGATGCTGAACTATCTTTTCAAGCTGCTGGAGGTCTGCATCATTGTCCTGCTGGCGACACCCTTCGCGGCGGTGGTCATCCTACCCCTGGCTTTGCTTTACGCCTTCATCCAGGTATGGAGGGCACGGTCAAATGGGCTGCTCCATATGCCGATTCCATGCAGTGTTCCATCTAGATGCTGACATACATAGAACTCAACCCAGGGGAATTGTGGGATACTTATGCTCACCAGAACTGTGCATCTTTAATGCATCTTGTTGCAGAGTTTCTATGTGGCCACATCCTGCCAGCTGCGTAGGCTGGAGTCTGTCAGCCGGTCACCGATCTACACTCACTTCAATGAAACAGTACAGGGTGCAAGTGTGATACGAGCCTTCGGAGAGCAGTCAAGATTCATTCTGCAAAACAACTATAGGGTCGACTACAATCAAACCTCCTACTTTCCCCGATTTGTGGCTACCAGGTCAGAGTCAGTAGCACAGTAACACAGGATAATCCTGTCAACAGTAGAGCCTAGCTGGTAGTTTTTCTTATGACCCATAATTGTCTTAGGAACAATGGGACATCCCTTTAGCTCAGACTATTATGTGCGCCATAATCTCTGAGGATTACATCCTGTTCATATCATTCCTATAGGTGGCTGGCTGTAAATCTTGAGTTCCTTGGCAATGTTGTGGTTCTTGCTGCGGCAATCCTTTCTGTAATGGGGAAGAATACGCTGAGTCCTGGCACTGTGGGTCTCGCCGTGTCCCACTCTCTTCAGGTAAAAAAAACTTGTTGTCCTTCTCTTCTCTCCATCTCATTCAGTGATTTAATTACTTCTGCTACTGAACTATTTTGACTCCTTCATATGTGGTCAATAGGCAAAGTATGACTGCTGGCATGCAGAATATTGTAGGTCTGTCAAATTTTGCAGGTAACTGCAATTTTAAGCTGGATCGTGAGATCCTGGACAGATGTGGAGAACAACATTGTATCTGTGGAAAGGGTAAAGGAATATGCCGACACACAGAAGGAGGTCAGTATCTCTGTTGCTGCTCTAAACACCCTTCAGCTCACAAAGGCATGGTGTGGTCACTGAAGTATCATAACAATTTACTTGTCACGGGGTCCTGCAGGCACCCTGGACCATGGAAAAAAATCCCCTCCCCATAGCCTGGCCACAAACAGGGACCATTGAATTCCATGATTATGGACTGCAGTACCGCAAAGGCTTGGATTGGGCTCTCAAAGGAATTTCCTTACGCATCGAAGAGCGGGAGAAGGTTAGTTCCATTTATAACCCACATTTCTTGGAAGAATATATTGACAGAATACCTGACGATCTCACTCCCTTTTCTATACTGGCTTTTTTTAGGTGGGGATAGTGGGCAGAACTGGAGCTGGAAAGTCCTCCCTCGCTCTTGGAATTTTTCGGATCTTGGAAGCTGCCAAAGGTGAAATCTATATTGATGGGATCAACATAGCAGAGATAGGACTTCATGACCTGAGGTCCCGCATCACCATCATCCCACAGGTACGACACTCGTATCCCCACAAGGATAATATTTATTATGCAGAATTCTAATATTTGTGCTGCTCCACAAACCACAGGACCCCGTGCTGTTCTCTGGCTCCCTGCGTATGAACCTGGATCCATTTGATGCATACTCAGACGAGGAGGTCTGGAGTGTTCTGGAGCTTGCCCACCTCAAGAACTTTGTGTCAGGCCTACCAGACAAACTGAATCATGAATGTTCAGAAGGAGGAGAGAACCTTAGGTAATGGAGAACCCAGGAGGGACCTGTATCTATCCCTAAGTGTTCAAACCAGTATTTCCCTGTTGTTCTGGCATCTTGGTCAGTTTACATTCTTTGTGCTGCTATGCATTGTTCTGCAGTTTGGGACAGCGTCAGTTGGTGTGTCTGGCTCGTGCTCTCCTCCGCAAAACCAAGATTCTTGTCCTGGATGAGGCAACGGCAGCTGTGGATTTGGAAACAGACACCCTGATCCAGTCAACAATTCGTGTCCAGTTTGAGGACTGCACCGTGTTGACCATCGCGCATCGACTTAACACCATCATGGACTATACCAGGTAAGGAGACACTACCCAATGACACCTTCAAAAATGTTTAAAAGACAAGTGGAGTTCAGAATATATCATATTCTTCGACTGAACCAACTTCCAGAAAGACACCTATGGAGGTACACAAGCAGTGGGAAACAGAAACTTTTATTTCCTATGTCATCATGACTTTCAATCACTTTAATCACTTTCATCTCCTCCGACAGAGTCATCGTGATGGATAAAGGCCATATTGCAGAAATGGATTCTCCAGCCAATCTCATCTCAAAGAGAGGCCAGTTCTACTGGATGTGCCGGGACGCTGGGCTGGTGTGACAGGCTCCTGGGGGGCGGGGGAGGGGTCCTTGAGCTGCAATCTTCATTTTGCAGTTTAAAGTGGGGGGAATGTTACTTCGAGAGAACTACATAATCTATGTGAAAAACCATTTCTATGAAAAACAAGCAGGTAGTTAAGCTCAAAGGGTTATTATGGTATCAGGAATGACTTTGGCCACAAGCTGCTGAGTGCATGTGGGGGCAGGAGGCCTACAGAGGAGCTCGAAGAGAGAGAAAGGTCACGACGTAAAGGCGGCAGGTGGCTGAAGACTCCAACAATGGTGCTTACAGCAGGTTCTGACGGGACTGTCAGTCTCAGGTCATGAGGGCCCAGTCCTGCATGTCTTCATTGTCCCTCATGTAGGGAAACCTGAAGCAGGGAAATACTGTAAGTATAATAACTAAAAAAACCCAGCATATTCTGTATAAAACAACCTAAAGCCTGGAGGTGAAATGAAGAAAAGGGGAACTGATATTCAGTCAAGGTAAATGGATATGAATGACTTCCCTCCAAAGCAAACTGCCTTAACCCCAGTATTGCCTGATCTAAGGCTGTAGCTCAGACCCAGCATCTCTGACTTTATATGGAAAATGTGCCAAGACAATAAAAGACGAACTGGGGTTAAAATTCATTGCTATCACCATCTGGCCCCTAACGAACCATTTCAGTTGTATGAGGGCTGGGTAAAGATGAAAACATGGCAATGTGTAGGGAAATGGCTACCAGCTGTGTTGTGTTCTCAGTTTATTTTAGGCAGAGTAAACATTTTCAAATGGGTGATAGAGACTGGATGATCAGAGGCCATGTAACTTGAATGCTGCACCATAGAGTTTGCACTATTTTTGAGGAATAATATATTACATATAAAAATAAAGTTTAAATAGTATCCTTATTTACAAGATTCAGATGCTGTAGTGAATATGACGTCCAAACTCATGAGGACGAGTCGCAGATTTTCACCCTGGGTGCCCTGCAGAGTCATTTCATATTTACATACGCATCACTCTTTTCAGACACCTGGTTAAAGTTTCTCAAAACAGGCTTTTTACCAGTAATGAAAGGCAGGATCTCTTGGTCAGTGAAAATCACGATTTCTCACATCATATTAATTGTGATTTTCAAGATTTTCATGAGAGTAGTACTTATTTTCCAAAAGGTTCTGTTTGTGTGTTTTACTGGTAATGACGATGTTATTTACATACAGTATAAAGTGTTGTATGTGTATTTTAATACAAATGTAAAGAATGTTTTATATTTTTACTTTTTATATTTAACCTGTTACAGTTGATTTATCATCGAGTTTATTGTATTGACTTTACTGCTATGTGAGAAAAGTCATTTGAATGCAATATCCTCAATACTTTATTCATTGTACACAAATACTGTGTTTACGATATTTATTGTTGATTTTTTTTTTCCACATTCAAATTTTTATATTTTGTATATACGCTGACAGCAGCCAAATAAACTGTGATCTGTGCAGGTCACTCTATCCCAACTTTATTCTTACAGTATTTTACTTGCAGCTTATTGTTTGAGAACTCTGGTGTAAGTGCACTTGAAAGCAATAAACTTGAACAAACTACCCCCTCCATTTATCCATCTTACAATCGCTAATCATGGTTAGAATCGCAAGGTCCAGCAAAAAAATGAATCTGTAGCCATCCCTAAAGCTCATGCATTCGTCTATAACACCTCAATGCCCACTCTTGTTGGTATGAATTCCACACTCGTTTTTACACAGAAAGACCATCTTCATCATTTCTGAAGCCGGCGAGGTTAGTAACTGTGGTGTTTTGTATGCAGGTGTAACAATGGTAATGTTTTTTATAAATGAGCAACAGTAATGATTAGGCAGCTGTCCCAAATCAATGCTTATGTTGTAGGTAAGCATACATCAGGAAAATATTTGTACAAATCAGGGGCCTTTCAAGCTATTGAAAAGATCAAGAGCTACAGTAAGTCAAGTTTACCTGGGGCTTGACGTTTTCTTTTTGAAGGAAGATTGACATCGGGGCTAAAATCCCCAAGTGGTTGAACCTAATGAGTCCTATTGTACATGCAGCACCTTCTCATTTTCCCACCGTATTAAAATGATAAAATAGGAGTGGAAGACGGTGTAATCTGCCTAAGACTGTACAACCCACAAGACTTCAGCTTCAGTAATCCAAACCTCCAAATGATATGCTTGAACTAGCCCGCGTGTTAAGGCTCCCAGCTATCTTAATTTAATTTGACTTTATTACATAGTGTCAATTCTTTGGCACACAAGCTAGTCATTCGTAGCATAGTAGTCTGTCTGCAGTCTGCTGGAACCGCAGCCCGTGCAGTCGGCCCACAGAGACGCTGCTAACTGAGGGTTTGCAGTACCTGCGACGTTTTAGCAGCGTAGATTAGGCAGGCAGTCAAACATGTCAAAGTAATAGCGACTCACTCACTGTGATCTGTTTCAGGGAGTGCATATCACAGATGTATGTGGGGATGATACTGATCGCGGGAAAACACGGAAGGCTGCAGACCTACAGACAGCTGTCATATTATTACCCACACGGTTTGAAAAAAATATATAATGGAATTACAAACATGTATAAATATTAAAATACCCTCGACAAAGTATTTGCACTGTAGTTAGGAATGTATCAATTACAAACCAGATATGGGAACAGTCACCACAAACAATTCGGATTATTTTACACAACTACAAATGTAAAAAATAGCTCTGCCCACAGAAACACAAATGTCTGTATATTGTAAACTCCTTTCATGCGGTATTAATTACTGCACGTGGGGTGAATTTAACTATTTTCTAATACACTGGTATGAAAGTACTTCGACGGCTACACACTGTGAAAGTGTCATCAGACACAATAAGGTTATTCTTATGAGATGTTTTCAGGACCAAAGAAATAAGCTATTCCAGAAATCCCTGTCCGTACAATATGAAGACTTAATGCAGGTTCAGGACCAAGTAGTAGGGGTGTAGCAATGCACCGTGGCAGAAAATGATTTACTAATGTTAACTAAAGAGGGCACAATAGACTTAATCTCAGATTTTCTTCGAGATTTTATTTTTGCATTTTACACTTAAGTGTGCAGGATAGGGAAGAAGAAGTTTTTTAGTAGTCACAATTATACTAAAAATGAATAACACATACTCAAGATTTGATCCAGATCATACCAAGACTGGATTATATAACCTATGATCCAATCAGATCACTTCAGAACAACTGGGCCCAGGTATGAGAGAGCCATACATTCAGGGAAACAAACAAACCCATTTTTTTACTAGAAGTCTGGCTCCTCTGTAGCATGCTAGCTTACTCCAGGTCAGGGCCTTTATCCTGTGCCAGCTGGCCTCCTGCAGCCCCTGCTTGGCTGGCCTCCCTCACTGTACCACCAGACGGCTTCAGCTGATCAAAAATGCTGACAGCAAACCTAACCTCTGTAAATAACCAGTGTGGAGCCTTATTAAATCCCTCTACCAGCAAGCCACTATGCCCCACATAAAACTATAAAAAAAAAAAAAAGATCAGAATGAGGTTTGTACTCTGTGTAGTTCAGGTGGCACATGGCAAAAATAATATGATTCACAAAATTAAAGTTTAGTGCAATAGAGCCTGGCAGTTGTGCTGTTTAATAATAGAAAACATGCAAGGGTTTTTAATAAAATCCTTTTTTTGACAAAGTGCAAATTCAAATTCATAGCCACTGTTATAATGCATCCCCTTCATGTGATACTTTGTAGATAGCTTGAAACAGGGATCTCCGTTTGATATAATACACGCACTGCGCGTTTCGTTTATTAATAACATCACACGGCGCCATCTAGTGGACAGTATAATAATATGCGCCGACAAACAACCGAAGTCACGTTTAAACGCTTTGCAAAATATATTTTCTTTTAAAGTCAAAATGTACTAAAATGTAATACTACGCATACTGCGCACAAAACTATATAAACTTCAGGCACATGGCCGTTTGAAACAACCCGGGAGAGGGCAGGAACTTAGGGGAGAATCGACCTTTAAACTCGGAAGTTAGACAGCATCACTATGGCGACCGTCACGGAGCTGAAGAGCGGTAACTCCATGGCTTATTTGCTATAAATTGCCGTAAAAACATTTGTCATATATGCATGTGTGTAAGGAAGTGGGTGATAAAGGCTAAAGCAGTCATGCAGGGGAGGTATAATTATAATACATGGCCGCCATCAGATCCGCTGCGGTCCGGCACCTTGACGGACGGCCTCTCTGTTTTCGCCGCTCGGTAGCCCTCAAAGAGGCGCTGGAGGCTCGGGGGGCCCTGGCCCAGCTGAAGGCTCGGATCCGGGCCGAGGTGTTCAACGCCCTGGACGACAAGTCTGAGCCGCGACCGCCGCTGCCCCGGGAAAACCTGCTGATCAACGAGCTGATCCGCGAGTACCTGGAGTTCAACAAGTACCGCTACACAGCGTCCGTGCTGAGCGCGGGTGAGGGGTCCTGTCACCGGCCGCAAGGGGGCGACACTCATGACACTCGGGTTTTATGAGGCGGTCACCATCGCCGTTCAGTTATGGAAAATTACTGTGGGGAGGTCGGCAGGGGTACTTTGATACTGTTATTGTGTGTATTCATGGCTCTGGATGTACTCTGCACAGAGTCTGGCCAGCCAGAGGTGCCCCTGGACAGGCAGTTCATAGCCAACGAGCTGAACGTGGTGGAAGACGCCAGCGCCTCTAGCGTGTGAGTGTATTACCTATAACTTTCCCATTTATGCTTTAGGTTTTGTTTAGAATGTACATACTGAAAGCAAGACATTAAGGAATATCAGTGCAATTATCATGCTAAAATACTTTGACAACACATTCTGTTCAGTCCATTTGTGAAAAAAGTTTAGACTGTTGCAAAATAATATTTTCCAGTCTTGACAGGGAATAACCTTAAAATCAGCAGTCCTTTAATGAAGCACTTAAGACTGTATTGGGTGATGTAGGAAACAAACGTTGGTTAGGTCATTTTGGATTCAGTGTACTTCTCGG